TGGATTATCACGAATTTTCCAAGACTAAGACTGGCCAAATCGGTTCAGCCGTTTTTGAGTTTTAGCATGACTAACTTTTTGTCGAGCTCTATTTTCAGAAACCTCAATTTTGGTAAAAATACGGGTCATAACTACATAATTCATAAATGAAATTTAACCCTTTCGCTATATGCGTCATCTATAGACGACATCCGCTTGACGACCTGTGTCTACGAGTCTCGTCTATTGACGACATCCAGTGTGTCGAATTATGCTTCTCTGTGTTAAATTATGGAGAATTCTAATTTGTTCTTGTGACTTTTAGTTTCTTACATGTCTAGTTTTGAAGTTTTTAATACATCTTGATGTTTTGAAAATCTTTATATTTTTTGTATGACAAATACCTGGGCGGCTTGCTGGCTCGTACAGCAGGTTCATTTCTCATTTCGTAGCGAAAGGGTTAATAAAAAAATATTTTCACTCTTTTATTCTGGCCAACGGATTTCTTCGCATGTCCTTTTGCAGTGAACGCACCTGGCAAATTTCAGTTTTGAAATATATCAGTTTCCACATTGTGTGTTTATATTTTAAGATAGCAACATGTTATTCTTTAGAGATATCGAAATTATGTAAGAATGAATTTTGGTATATGTCATAAGCTCCTATATTGCTTCTGTGAGTCATAATGAGAGAGGAGAGTGAGCATTTCGCACAAATTTACTATTTACTAATAAATTTACTTTAATGGAGGGCAAGTGATGTGTAACTTCATCTCTCATGTGATCCCAAGTTTTTCTTTCGCTTAAAATACTTGTAAATATAGCTTTATCTACTACTTTTAAAAATAACGCAAGGGATTCGACTATCCAATGTACACGAGAAGTGTACTTCACACGTTTATTGTTATGACGTTATGTTTGGAAAATGTAATTTTTCAGGTGTTTTCAAAATGTACAGCACCAAAAACAATAAAACATAATACGAATAATACATAAACTATTATAAAGTATTAAGAATAAAATTTTCTCTCATTACGTAACGACTTGTATTTTTTTCTTTTTATTTAGGCTATTTTTGTACTTAATATTAGAGATATCAATGGTGCCCAGTTAAGTTACAGTCCAATTAGTCCAACTAGGTCAACTTAATTAAATTATAATAAATACTATGGCAGAATGGTGATATATAACCAAATTATAACGAATTTAAATACGTGGTCTTTCTAATCCAGTCTTATGCAAGCCATCAAACGATGTATAATTGTATTATTTCAATTTTGTATTAATTTGTAAGTATAAAAGTGCACAGTTGCAACAAATGTTACGTAGGGTGGAGCATTTCAAGATATATTAAAATCAAAATTTCGCACTCTATAGATGATTTTATAAGCTTAAAATCAAAAAGTGCTAAGTCGGTGGTCTCATCATCTTCATAAAAACTCGAGATATTTATCTGAATTCCTAGATGAAAGAACGAAAAGTTCCAGATAAACATTTTTGGGCCCTTCTTTTAAAACTTTATTTATACCATTGTATAAAGCAAACAAATATATTATAAGCCAAAAAAGTAAAAGTGGGTTAAGTATATCTACAAATTTTATTGACTTTATTGGTCCTTTTCCTAAATATTTGAGCGAAAACTAGCTTCATTAGTGGATTTAAAACTATGAAGTATTCTATAAAGATTTTGATATTGAAGTTTGCAGAAAATTTAAAATTGTCTTAAAAAATCAAGGTAAAAGGAGATTTCTCGACTGATTCAAAGCATGCATTACTAAAAACATAAATATACATAAAATCTATCCATAAACAATCATATCTATTTCATCATTACGGTAATCCTATTTCAATATTTTTAAGAAAGGCTTGAATATTTATTTTAATATTAATTATTTTGTACCACCTCCTTTCTTTCCCTTGGTGATACGTCGTGATATTTGAAATTACCCCCTCAACCCCCCAAACAACACGTGTATTTTTAGTCACGTGTAATTTTACGAACAAATTTTTTGAGTACGAAAAAATCGTAAGATTTTTGACTTTTTTTTCGAAAATTTAGGTAAAAAATAATTACACGATATCTTACCAGATCCCACTCCACGTGATTTTTTACCAAACCCTCCCCTTTCCCTAAAAGCCTCACGTAATTAATGGATGCCCCCTTAGTTATAATAATTTATCCATGCAAATTATATATTCAAGATTTTTCCTATTGGTGTGGTGTTGGTAACGCTGCAGATATTTCAGCACTTCACTACCCTTGATGATGTGAGCAGTTCATGTCATTTCTAATGGCGGGTGGCTGTCATTGCAAGATGCATATTAGTTTGTGTTTGTGTAAAATTTAGTTTAGTTTAGTGCCTTGTTTAGTATTTTTAATTGTGTTTAATTCAGTTTTTGATTGTTTGAGCAATTGAACAAGTTCACCCGTCAAAGGAATGGGTAAGTCGTTTTTGTGGCATTTATCTTGATATGACATTTATCTTGAATGCACTCGTGATCTTTGAAGGTTATGTATTTGGATTGGAATCCTAAATATACAATGATCATACCGCCCAAAAAAAATGGCACATTATTCTAAATTAACGAAACATTATATTAATCTAATGTAATTTTACGCTTATGTTTTGTGCAATTTAATGAATATACGGCTTTTACGATGATACACCATTTTAAGGATGCACAACTTAATGAACAATTTATAACTTAATCTGTTAATCAACCTAAAAACTTAATCAACGTACAAAAGATATTAATGATATGTTGAATATTACTGATTAGGAATATGTAATATTATTAAAGTCCTAAAAAAAATCTAACCACATAATTTGCAGATATCGTAAGTTTTCATATAATTCATACGATACCTATACAGGCGTATTATTGCCATATATTTGAAAATTATTACTATGATCTACTTGTACTTGCATTTTGAAAGTTATTACAATAATTTACTTAAATTAGAAAAATAAAATATTGATACAAAAATTTTAGAGATAAAACGAATTTACTTCACGTATGTTTATATTCAATCGAGCATTTCTAAAGTAGATTTTTTTTATTTCATCAATATATTAATTATAAAGTATTCTTTTCTTGTTTTGATTTGCTTTGCAAATTTTTAGGTCTCAAATAACTGAATCATTTAATTCAGGGCTTCTCAAACTATGGGTCGCGTCCCCAAATGGTGTCATTAATTAATATCGTATGCCATTTAATTCTGCCATTTTCGATTCGGCTGTTTTTTTAATTTTTTTTTCAGAACTTAGCTTTAGATATATAAGCACAAGCTTTCAGATTCGATACCTTCCTGGGGCAACCTGATATCAAGCTGTAGTGACATAAGTTTTCTAAATATGTTAAGTGAACGTAGCCCTTCCATAGCATTGCTACAACAAAACTATGGCATCAGTATTAGAGAAATTTCAATAAAAATATTGAAATAAGTAAACTATTGGGTTGCCCATTGAAAATAACATTGTTAAAACGGTGGTCCAACGTTCACAGAACAGAAAACAACTAAATATTTTCACACACACACACACACACACACTCACATATTTTCCAAATTTGGTCTCATTCGATTAATAAAATTAAATAGCGAAAAATTTAGCATATCGGATTTTTTATGAAAACATAAACTTCTTTTTCGGGAAGTTAGTAATAATTAATTACATTTACAAAAAATGAAGAAATATTTAAATGACAAAATTAAAAGAAGTATCGTATATGTAATAGCAAACACTTGTATATTTCTTTATTATCATAGTTTTATTTATACAATTTTAATACATTTGTGAAACTAAAATTTATCTCCTAAATTAAAACAATATATACCTATATTAAAATATTGAGTATTTAATAGTAAAAACTTTCATATATGTAATTACAGAAACAAACATTTGCATATTTCTTCAATTATGATATTTTTATTTATACATTTTTAATACAATTTCTGCATCTGAAATTCATCAAACCATTGGATAATCCACATTGATATTTGTATATCAGATCAAATCAAATAAAAAAATTATAATTATGAGGGTTAACCCTTTTCACTCGGATGCCGCCGTTTCCGAGGAAAAATACATATTAACCCTTTCAACTCGGATGCCGCCGTTTCTGAGAAAAATACATATTAATCTCGCACTTTGCGAGTCGAAAGGGTTAAAGTAATATAGATTGTTGTTTAATCAATTTTGATATTTTTGTTTATACATTTTTAATACAAATTCTGGACTTGAAATTGACTATACCAAATTCATCAAATCATTGGATAATCCAAGTTGTCTGGTACACATTGATATTTGTATATCAGATGAAATCAAATAAAAAATTTATAATTCTGAAAGTTAATCCTTTCCACTCGGAAGCCGCTGTTTCTGAGGAAAAATACATATTAATCTCGCATTTTGTGAGTGGTAAGGGTTAAAGTAATATATATTGTTGTTTAATCACTTTTGATATTTTTATTTATACATTTTTAATACAATTTCTGCAACTGAAATTGAGTCTACAAAATTTATCAAATTACAGGATTATCCAAGTTGTCTGGTACATATGGTATTTGTATATTAGATCAAATCCAATAAAAAATTTATAATTCTGAGAGTTAACCCTTTCCACTCGGATGCCGCCGTTTCTGAGAAAAATACATATTAATCTCGCACTTTGCGAGTGGAAAGGGTTAAAGTAATATAGATTGTTGTTTAATTAATTTTGATATTTTTATTTACACATTTTTAATACAATTTCTGCAACTGAAATTGAACCTATCAAATTTATCAAATCATTGGATTATACTATATGATATTTGTATATCAGATCAAATCAAATAAAAAATTTATAATTCTGAGGGTTAACCCTTTCCACTCGTATGCAGCCGCTCCTGAGAAAAAATACATATTATTCTCGCATTTTGCGAACGGAAAGGGTTAAAGTAATATGAAATAAATAATCAAATAATCAAATAAAATAGTTTTATAAAAGAATTACACTTATTTTTTGTATTGAATTTTTAAATTATGGATTACCACTCGTAACACTTAAAAACGCTTCACTCTTCTCTCCATATATGGCGCGTAATTCAAAATGCCACAACATCGAAATCCAAACCATTGTTTCCCCAGCTCTAATTGTAGTTTCTAATTCAAAACAAATCTCATCACAAGGTGTTTTTGGACGCATTTTCACTTCAAAACTTCCTCGTAACTGGTAAAACGTTGCCAAACCATCAACATGAATATTCTTCCAAGTTCCATCATAATTTTCAGAGACCAAAACCCAACTTAGATACGGTGAAGGTAGATGTCGAGAGTAGAAATACGGTTTTTCGGCTAATAATCTCGAGGCTTTTACAGCAGGTTTCTCACAATTTTCCATATAAAGAAATGTACTGTTCAAAGTCGATTGGGTAAATTTGTTTACCAATTCTCGTACTGTGCCAAAAGGTGCTAATTGTAGATTTGTATAAACGTCGCAAGGGTAAGTGTCTAGAAGGTGGTCATTTAAGGATATGGATTCGATTAGAGAATTTGAGGGATGATCCACATCAGTTACGATTACAGGAGCTCCTCGAGAAAAATAATTTTCTCTTAAATATTCACTAGATGTGTCATTTATTCTGTCTATATCAACTAAAAGAAAATAGAAAAGTTAATGATTTGTTATAGAAAAATAAAAATATACATATAAACATGATCACGAAAATCATCTATTAGGTTCATAAAGTATGTAAAATAAGTGATAAACTTGTGGTGCATGGCATCGTTCCTTAAGGCAAATTGCTAGATCGTCCCGTACAGATTTTTGTTTTTTGAAAATTTTGAATTGTTTTCAAATTGATCGCGATCGCTGCATAACAATTTTTAAGGCAAAATATCGACATTATAAATCTTGATACGGAATCCATTTAAATGCGAACAAAATTTGTACTTATTAAAATTTCTTTGAACATTGACTAGCCTAGATACGTCTGACGAAACCGCCGAACTTGCCTTTCTAAAAATTTAGTTGATTTTTCATTAGGTCTTTTTTTATTTAAAAATTTAAATTTAAAAATTCTTATTTTTGAAAAACGTAAATATTACAATCTGTCGTTATTAACAACATTCAGTAATTTTAATGGTTTATTAATTAAGGAAAAAAGTTCGAATGGTCATCTAATAGTGGCGATTCGATTCGAGGTTGATTGGTTAAAATAAATAAATAAAATTGTTGATATATATGAATAAAATCTTTATTAATTTTCCCGTAGGGTAAGTTATTGTAATCGTCCAAAAATCGAAATTTTCATGTTTCGAAGGTTTCTGAATATTTGGGCATACCTCAGAAAACATGAATGTGTGTGTGTGTGTATATGTATAGAAACAATTTTTCGTCCACATTTTCGGGTGCACGGATCAACCGATTTGAATAGTTTTAAAAACATTCCATTTCTATTGATGGGAAGATATGCTGATTAGTTTTTGAAAAAGGCAGTTCTAGCCGTTTCGGAAATACGGATCAAAGAAGGCAGAAAATAGAAATCGAGTTTTTGAGAGATCGGAGCATCCGATTTGAATGATCTAAGAAACATTTAATTTGTAATGATGGGGAGAAATGGTGATTAATTTTTAGCAAAGGCAGGTCTAGCCGTTTCGGAGATATGGAGCTAAATGTGCAAAAAATTGCAGTTTTTGAGAGAACTAAGCATCCGATTTGATTGGTTCAAAAAACTTCCTGCTTGTTTTAACAGAACAATTGATTTTGGAAAAAAATATTTAGTTTTTTTAATAATTTAGATTTTAATTTTAATTCTTGCTAAAGTTCTGAAGCACACTCATATACTTTAATTAAATAATTAACTTTGTAATTCAGTTTATATAATTCTTGTAAATATTAGATAACGTTACAGTATTTATAATAATCTATTTCAAAACATTTAATATTATTCGAACATTTCGTCATAATACGGGAAGTTCCAGCAATTTGCCTTAAGGCACGATGCCATGCGCCTCGCCAGTATATCTATAAAAACATATAATTAAGAGCAAAAATCTCTTCATCCACCATCCTACCCAAAAGTTCACAAACATCACAATCAGTTTCCATCAATCCATTATCCAAATTGTCACCATAATTCGATCCCTGATCAGTCGAACGATGTCCAAAGAGACATTTGGCACCAGCCAGCGGTCTCCAATCCCAGTAGGGCAGAATCTTAACCAGGGCGACCCTTCCGACGGCGCTGACGCCCCACGTCAGCCAGAGCGGCGCCAGATACCACACGAGAGATACGAGAACAAAACAGACGGAGGCGAAGACAAATGATCGTTCGTACTGTATACGTTTCCGCAACCTGTTGAATGTTTGGAGATTTATTAGGGCTTGTTAGGAGCCAAAACAAAAGTTTTGTATGATATGGGTTGTGTGTTATGAATGAATGAGTCATTTTAAGTAGAAATAGGTCAATAGATCTGTTACCAATGAATCAGTGGTTAAGTCAATTTTCAATACTTCATGGTTTATAGGATCTGATTATGGTCGTATAAAATGTTTGAAATATTTATATTCGATTCGTTTCGTTATCGAATATAATTCTTGAAATTTTATCTAGAATATTTAAATATTATTCATTTTTTACTCTTATGTAGACAATGTCCTAATGAGGTTATCAGAAAAGCTGTAAATTCTTTTTACCTTCTCTTGGCTTTTTAACTTCCCGTAGGGCAAGTTATAGTGATCGCAAAAAAATCGAAAATGAAAATTTCTATATATCTTCACGTTTCAAAGGATTCTGAATATTTTGGCATACCTTAGAAATAATGGATGTATATGTGTGTGCGTGTGCGTGCGTGTATGTATGTGTGTACAGATACAAATTTTCGTCGACGATTTCGGAAACACCGATCAACCGGTTTGAATAATTCAAAAACCTTTCGATTCCTATTGATAAGAAGACGTGCTGATTAGTTTCTGGCAAAGGCAGGTCTATCCGTTTCAAAGATACGGGGCAAAAAGTGCCACAAACGGTAACTTTGTTTTTAACAGAATAGAGCGTCCGATTTTAATAATTCAAAAGGCATTTTACTTGTATTGACAAGATGCAGAACTGAATAAATTTTTGGGAAGGCATGTTTAGCGGTTTTGGAGATCAAGTAAAAAAAGTAAAAAAAAAAGCCATTTGGCGGTCAAAAATGATCATTAGACATATGCATATCAAATTATCAGATATTTTATAAAGATTCCCATAATGCCGTATCAATTTTCTTTACATTTCTATGGCTTCCGTAAGATCGTTTGTCCGTTAGATGGCGACGCGGCGATTACGCGCTTACGTGCAATTGCTTTGAAAAAAAGTTTATAATTACCGAAATATTTCAAAATAAAAAGAATATTTTTTTCAAAAACGTAATTATTTTTTCAAAAATTTAAAATTTCTCAAAAATCTAATATTTTCAAAGTTAAAAAAAATTATTCTGTTTTCAAAAAGTTAATTTTTTGTCACGAAAAGTTCCAGCAATTTGCATACACCACTAGTCAATATTGGTCAATGTATTTACTCTTAGCGGACAAGATGTTATCATCGCATTACTAATATCACTCTAGAATATAATGAACTTTTATATTATCAAAAGCAGATCAGTACTTAACTTTTTAATTTTTATTGAAATAATGATATTACAATAAAATAATTGGATAATGACTTAATATTAATAATTTAATAAGGAATTGACTTACTTGAAGCATTGAAGATTTTTTGAGTAGGTACAATTGCTTAGAAATTGTCGAATAATTAGACCAATACGAAAGTTGTGAAAAAATGGATCAGTGGCTGCGCCAATGTATTTACTTTTTAAATGTGCCACAAATAAAAATGTGTTAATGAAATATTTTAAATCAAAAGAGTTTATGAAATAGAACAATGCCACGTAACACTTTTTAGTCTATATTCGACTTCACCACTGCAATCAAAGATATTTTCGCACATAGATAGATTTACATATATTTCCAGATTTTGCAATGATCAATGAGTGTTGTATTATTGATGCCGTAATCACATCCATTCGATTTTGAAAATTATTCTCTAAATATGTTAACTACAGTAGTTCTTTAACAATTTTTTATTGCACACAAAATATCACGTTATATTATAATAGTTTGAAAATGTTAATCTATCGATAATAATTTTAATAAAAAAAGTATCATTAATTTATGCCTTCTTACGAATTTTATATTATTCCATAAACATTTATTTTTTTTATTTAATGATGAATTATTAATCCACTTTTGAGAAATATTATGATCATTTTATTGTCTAAGTAAAATGAACTTGTTAAAAGTATTTGCTAATATAAAGAAAATTATAAGCGCTTTTATATAACTTACATTTTTGTAATACTTTACTTATTTTAATTAATATACTAGTTTGCGTTATAATTTAATGATGTCTTTTTGATTATATACTACAAATAATTTCAACATGAAATATCCATGATGAATTAAATGTGCAAAATAACAATACAGGCTTCTGCAAAATTACTGTTTTTTGCCGTTGGATTAAATACTTTTAATTTACCTGTTTAAAGGTGCAAAAACCGCCTTTAATTCTTCTTCACTGATGCCCTGTTGAATACATTCTTCTTCAACAGCCAACAACTCCGATCGAACTTTTTCCAAAACTTTTTCAGTATCGCGGTTTTCTTTCACTTTATTTGACTTTGCAACTTTTTTTAAGCTCTCAAAAAACTGTAAATTTTTTGCAACACCATGAGAATGCTTCCGATCTTTTTTATTAGTTTTTTCGATTTCTTGATGTTGTTTATTAGGATTTTTTTCTTTGCCACTATCCATGTTCTTTTCGTCCTTTGGCGGTCTACTCTCTTTCGATCGCGGTGCCATACTGTCTAAGGACATAGGATACATATCCTTGGGAAGGATACAGGAAGTAAATCATGGCGCCGAAGCTGACGATTCTCAAACTGGATGTAATTTGTAATAAACTAGTGGTGCATGGCATCGTGCCTTAAGGTGAATTGCTGGAACTTTCCGTACCACAAATATTTTTTAAACAAAATAGAATTTCAGGATCTTTTTGAGAAACAAATACATACATACATACATACATACACACACACATACATCAGTTTTTTTAATTTTAAAAAGTAGATTTTTGAGAATTTCGAAATTTTTGAGAAACACGCACATACTTACGTACATACATCTATTTTTTTCTAAGGTAGGCCAAAATGTTCTGAAACTTTTGAAACCTAAAGATATGCAAATTTGCATTTTCGATTTTTTTGCGATTACTATAACTTACCCTACGGAAAGTTAATAATTTAGTTAATTAAAGCAATTTAAGTTTTGATTATTAAGGTTAGGAATCACTTGATATTTATATTAATAACATTCTGATAGCACTGTTCTCTAATAATTACAAATTAGTAATGTTTTTGACCCTTTCCACCTAGATAGAACTCGGTTAATATCAGTTAATATTACAAGATCTACCCAAAATGGTTTATTAAGTAATTTTGGTAATTTTGGTTTATTAAGTAGTATAGATTCGTAAAAATTATCAAGATTTTTTTTTCTATTCTTTACTTACCATACTAATATTGATAATAATACCTAAACAATGTTGTGATAAGAACAATATGAATTAATGAAACATAATTTGATGCCTATGATAAGTAGAAATTAGTAGATGTATTTAATATTTTCAACTTTTCTTGGGAAAGATACGAATAATTTGCGAAAGATATCAAAAATCAAATCAAATGTAATCCGATAGGATTCGTAAGATAAAATTATGTAAATATTTCCCAACTATTATTTATTTATCGAACCAATAAGTTTAATATCTAATTTTAAGTTTTCTTGTAATAAAGTGTTATAATTTTTTTTGAAGAATTTTATCATTTTTCTTTTGACGGTAGATACCATAGTCTTATAGATCATACTAAAATATTACAGCCCTACGACAACTCGTTTAATTTTAAAAATTCGTCAAAGTTTGCAAATATTAATATAATTTTTCTGGCGTTTGCCAAAATTAGAACTTTCATCGACGTTTGCTCAAAAACGCCTGAATCGATTTCAAAAATTTAAAAGTCAATCGATGTAGTTCGATGTGGACTATCTTTTCTAATTGTCAGTTTTGTGCGACGATCGGCTGTGACATTTCTTTGTGAAAGTAGCAGAAAAGTGAAAAATTTGTTTTAACGTTTTATCTCTCAATTCTGAATCGATTTTAAAAAATTAAAAACTTTTCGTAAGATATTGGTTGAGAATGATACTGAACAGTTTTAGGTAAATATCTACCGAGTCGTTTTCTTGAAATTAACTGTTGAAAAAAATGTTAGCCAATTTTTATGAATCTTTATTTGGCAATAGATATCATAGTCTTATAAAACATACTAAAATGTTACGGCCCTACGACAAATAGTTTAATGTTAAAATTTAATCAAATTTTGAGAAAATATTATAGTCAAAACTTGTGTCAAAAGTTGCTTTTGTGATGTGATGAGTCAAACATTATCAATTCATTAAAATTTAAAATAATAAACTACAAATTTGGGACATACAAGCACGTGTCTGTGCAATATAATTAATATAATTACAGATAATTTAAATGTGTTCGAGAAAATTCTATTCGAAATCGCAATGTTTATATTTAATTGAAAGCGATAACTTTATCTTTGAAATAGAGTTGAAAATTAATCTAAATATTTATTTAGATATCAATATCGATTGATTAAGTCAATTCTTACACATTTCGGGAAGTTCAGGCAACTTGCATTAATGCTAAATGCCAACTTTCTACTAGTTTACAATTACCATATCCATTTGAAATTGCTAATTAATTTGAATCAAATTAAAAATTATTCTTGCTCATGGAATTTGCACACAGCAAAAGGCATTGAAGCATAATTTGGTTCTTTATTATTCTTTGACAAAAACTCACCTTAACCATGTTTTTATTTTAATTATTGATATAGGTCCTACAATATTTTTTTTAATATCCATAATTTTTTTCCTAATTCCTAAGTAAATACAGAACCGTTAAGAAAACAAAGCGCCTATTGTGGAAATAGATGACAGTAGACTTCGCCTACTGCACCGTTCGGGCATGAACAGTAATGTGTTTGAAGAGGCGTTTAGTGTTGTAATAACTTTTTATGAATTACAATGTAATAATTCTGTCAAATATTGGAATAATGTTCTAACGGTTTGAAACAAGCTATTTCCTAGATTTAGGTGACTAGGTTAGAGAAGTATTGGAAATATAAATCAACTTTAAGACCTTAACAGTCCATCAAATTTATCTCTTCAAACACACCGGGAGAATTAAATAGACATAAACGGTGAGCTTGGCTTATAGGTTTTTGTATTGATATTACTGTACAATGTGTTAATTTGAAAAGCTGGTAATTACAGAGTGTTTTTGTGATTTATTTAATTAATGGCTTAGGAAAAATTCTTAGATTTATTCTACTTGGCAACGTACATTTTAGAAGGCAAGTCAATGATTTACATATATTTGATACATTTTTAACTTCCCGTAGAAATTTGTTTTCGCGAAAAAATCCGATTTGTTAATTTTATGTCTTCTCGACGCTTTAAGTCATTTCGAATCGAATGAAACCAAATTTGGCAAAAGTTGTGTGTGTATGTGAGCCCATTTGGACCTTTTGTCAACATTTTCTCAAAAATAGCTGGATCGATTTAAAAAATGTAACAGTTGAAATTATGATCCTGATATCACAAAATGGCATGTAAATTTATTGTAACCTTACCATAAGCTTTTATTAAAAAAACTAAATTAGTGAATAATTCTACCTTCAGGATAAACGTGCAATAAAACTTTCATGCAAAAAAACAAAATCTACACCTCTGCAATTTATTTTTGAAAATTTACTGCTCAATCAAGTTTGGTATTTCATTATCTTCTCGTCTTATTTCTTACAATCCCATATTATTGATATATTTATAAATAAAATTATTTTTTTCACCTCAGTGGTCAATTAAAGCAAACTAATATTTTACATATCTTAATTGAGCAAAATTCAAGTGCATCGAGAAGTTAATTAAAAATACGCCTGTCGTTTTGTCAACTTTAATAAATTTTGAATGATATTTACAGTATGTTGACTTTTTTAACATTTCGTTCTGGAAACCCGTATTTGTCAATGGGTTCAATTGCGTTATAAACGCAGTGGCCTGTGTTAAATCTGATGCTGCAGACCTCAGATAAAGTCTGGCATTGGCAATATAAAATATGGTGTCACCATGTCGCACATTTAAACACACACTGAAACTTATAATATATATATATATATATATATATATATATATGCATATATGTATGTATATTTCTCCGATAAATCTTATTCTAATAAGGAAACGTATTATTAAATGTCACATTTTAAGCAATTTTATGATTAGGTATATGTTTATGAAGTCAAGCCAATAAAATCTATTTCTTGATGTCTATCGGTTTTAACTTGAAAATATTTATTTGTTTCATTTATTCATTATAGACAATTAGAAATACAATTTGTACGAATCTATATAATCAATAATATGTTAAAATTATAGGCCAAATTATATTCCCAATTGCAAGAATCCCCACCCCAGCATTGCTCCTTCAAAAATATATCATCAGTATTCCATAAATCCCAATTTCTAATAACCAGTTATAAGAAGCATTTTGCCGGCAAGTTGCAAAAACTTTAACTTATTGAGAATTGAGATTCGACTATTTAAGTGAAATGTTCAACTGTTATTTTGCTTAATTATTAGTAAAAAAGGTCAACGACTGAGTTGTCTTCCAAAAATGCTAGTTTAAGGTATTTCTTCAGAACGGTTAATAGAACACATAATTCTGTCCAAATATATGACAAATTTTCTGGTCTTTTTATACTCATCGTTATGTAAACTGTCCATTCTATGATTCATGTTAACTACTAAAAAAACAGAAAAACTTTGTGCAAAGAATTAGCGTCAATTCGCAAGGTAATTGTTGTTAAAAGAACGTAACCAGAAGGTCAGTCCTTGGTGTCTGCGGTTGTTTTGTTATTGTTAATATGCGTTTTGTATGTAATTTCCTTTTATAACTTTCGCTTGCAAACAGCGATGTTCAATATTTGAATTTATTCATCTGACATATCACGTATCTGAGGTGAGGTCTCAATTACAATTCTTCTTTGTGAGAACGGAAGCTTTGGATGATGACTAACAGGAACAGAGGCCGACTAAATTTACTTCTCTTTTGCACAAAATAAATTTAAGTTTTTTTGAAGGATTTTCAAATTTTCTGACTTTTTTCATTTGTTTGAACTTCAATATGAACTATTCTCAGTGTTCTACACCATCTATGCTACTTTCTGCAGCCTAGATTTGTTAGAAGACAACCTGAAATTGCCCTATCTTTGTATGATGAAATGTTTACTTTACATACTTCTAAAGTGTGACATGAATGATATATTGCAGAAGATGCCTCAAAAAATAACTCTCATTTGGAATCATATTTTGAATTTATATTTTCAAGTAAAAAAAATCTGTTTTCTATCAGGTTGTAAACGTCTACTACTTGTATCAGATTATGCGGATTAGAACTCAAAAACTGGTGGTTGCATAATCGAGGCTTATACTACTACAGTACGATTGTTTTTTGAGAAGGATTTTATTTTATATTTTGATACCTTCATCACCACATCATTATCATAGCTGATATTGATCATTATCATAGTTTTGGGCCTGATGACGCAATCAGTTGAAAAATGATTATTATATTAGGCGCTGTGTATTCGTCTTCCTAAGATATGAAAAAATAAGAAATATTTTTATATTTTGAAATTTTACTGGAGAAAGAAAATAACTTACATACACTATGTGGAATCAGAACTACTAGTTTATCT